TTGTAAGGATAAGCGGATCAGAAAATGGATGGATGGAAGCATGGATTGATTGAAAGATGGTCGCATGTGTTTGCACCCCCCCTCCCCCAAAAAAGACTGTTGGGCCTCATTGAGTACATTTTTGGAAGGAATGTGGAAGTCTCACAGGCTTTGCGGATGTCACATGGGATTTGAGGACATCTCATTGCCCAAGTCTGGCAGGAATTGCGGAAGTCTAACAAAATTTGCCAACGTCTTTTCAACAGTCTCCCAAGCTATGTGAGAACTGTCAAGGACTCAAGAATTATAGACGTCCCGAGGGATTTTCAGGAGAACCTGCAAGATTTACGCATGGTCAAAGGATTTGTGTTTGTTCCAGGGGATTTGCGGAAGTTCACGTGATTTGAAGAGTCTCTCTAGATTTGCAAAACTCTTGTTGGGATTTCAGAAGTCTCACGAGGTTGACAAGTCTCAAGGGATATATGGAAGTATCTCAAGATTGACTTGCACCAGATAGGCATGGGTTTTGTATTATCTGTGTGAGTCTTGCGGAATTTACAGGAGTCTTGCAAGGTTTGCGGGACACTTGCAAGTCTAGCAGATTTGCGTTTGTCGAACAAGATTTGTGGAAGTCTCGCAAGAATTGCAGAGTCTCATAAATTTGGCTGATGTTTTATGATATATGCGGACGTCTTGTGAGATTTGCGGAAGTCTCTGGGGATCTGAAGATTTATCTTTGTACGAAGTATGGAAAGCGCTACATAAACTTTTAAAAATATACACTAAAAATTATGCTGAGCTCGAGCACAATGTCATGTATTGTGCTGTTTGTTTGATGTGAATTGCCAATTTCGAAGTCATAGGTTCCACTGTCGTCTGAGAGTGAAGCGTGCTGGCTTGAAGAGTACACAAATGAACATCCCTCTTGGATTTGAATTCATTACAGTTATTGAACATTTTTGTTTGGGATTGTCAATGCCTGTCAAATGTCAGCCCTTGCCCCAACCTGCTTTCTGTGTCGCCTGTCAGCAAGCAAATTTAAGCTCTGGTTTAATGTCATGCCACCATGAACACAAACGTCGTCACTGAAAAGTGAACTGAGTGACAGGGATGAGCAACCAGGCAAGAAAACACTCATGCCGGAGCCTGATTAAAAACTAGGAGCACTGATCGTGTCGTGTCGCGCCTGGCAATAAAGGCCATTGTTCGGGAAGGGGGGTGAGGGGGACAGACACATAACACACTGAGGTATTATCCACAACACAACCTAGGGTATGCAACGAAGCTGTAGCTCGTGTATCTATGTAGAATGACAGAGCTTTGACCCCACATGGGGAATGTCAATAAAATCTCTTTGCCCTAAAATTAGACATGAAAAAAAGCCTGACGTGCAAACACATTCATGTCCTGAATACGAATTAAATCTATTTTGGGTCTAAACAATGTATTGTGTCAAAGCAAGTGTGTAAGATAATTATCAGTTAGCAGAAGTGTTAGCTGTGAATGTACGGATATGGATTCAAGCAACGTTAAACCAGGTAATTTTCTGACCGAGAAAATTTTGTCTTGTGATCAAAAATGTTTCAAAGCTCTCATTGACCAAGGCTCTCTACTCTGTATGGATGAGACTTACGTAATGTATCAAATACATATTAGTAATATGTCTAACACTGTAAACACGAGAAAGGTAAAAACGCAGGCTCAAGACCAATATCCTGTAGGTGGCATTAATGTCTCCCATTGATCAGAAATGATTCACTTAAAAAAGCATTCTGGAAACAATCCTCGATTGTGCTGAGCATGAAACAATAACCAACCAAAGGAGATTGTTGTGGACTTCACAAAGGAGATTGTTGTGGACTTCAGAAAGGCGCACTCCCAGCATGCTCCACTGACCATTAACGGTGCCACAGTGGAGAGAGTGAGCAACACCAAGTTCCTGGGAGTGCACATCTCTGAAGACCTGTCCTGGAGCCACAATACCGCATCACTGGCCAAAAAAGCCAACCAGCGCCTGTACTTCCTCCGCAAACTGAGGAGAGCAAGAGCCCCGCCCCCCATCATGCAGACATTTTATACAGGCACCATTGAGAGCATCCTGTCCAGCTGTATCACTGTGTGGTATGGTGCTTGCACTGTGTCCTGCCAAAAGACCTTGCAGCGCACCGTGAGAACAGCTGAGAAGATCATTGGTGTCTCTCTGCCCCCACTCGTGGACATTTACTACTCCCGGCTGACCCGCCATGGCATCCTGCT